TCTTACGCACATTTCCATTTATCCTTGCTCGAGCGAAATTTTTTAATATTTTCCTCCTTTTTTTTAAATTACTTTTTTCTCCCTCTCATTATTTTTTAATTATGATTTGTCCCTTCAATCTTATTGAGTTTTTAAATTAAATTATGGCATTTGAAGAAATTTAACTATTTTGAGATATTTTTTATAAGTTCTAAAGATTTAAGAAATAAAAGTTGGATTATTGTAAAATCAAAACTAAAATAAAATTAATCACTCTGCAAACTCTGAACTAAAGAATGAATAAAAACTACACTTGCATTTTGTAATTCCAATTTTCTTGAACCTATACTTAGGCTTACTTCTTTATGTTTTGAGGTCCAACTGAAAATTTTTTTAATTCTTTTTATAAATATTACTATATATATATATATATATAATATATATATATATATAAAAGATTCGCAGACGATTCTATTAATTATATCATATCGGTTATCTTGATATGGTTCAACTTGAACTAACACCTTAGACCATTGAGATATCAGATACAGTAAGTGGCCTATTTTTGAACCCGACATCGCTGTTGTAAGTCCCGATTGGTCGAGGGCAGTTGAAGGGTATTAACCTGGCGAATTCTTGAGATATCATAACCGGATTCCTTTGGTGTTTAGTATAAAGCCGAACCATTTGTCATTTAAAGATCTATGCTATCTAATAAAATGATGCCCTTTATATGTCTAATTCGGCGTTTCTATGGAGTCATAGATCTGAAAGACTCAGATTAAAACTGCCGAAGAATTAATCAAAAGATAGATACAATAGAAATGAATTAGATTCACGAATATTTTCACAGTAAAGGCTATTGGGAATACTGAATGCGGAAGATTCTCTCTTAAGTTTAAGTAGTCTACAAAGAACCAGATAATTTATAAAAATTTCATAAATTTAATGTATTTAAAAACAATTATGTAATTAAAACCGAAGAAAGAGATTTCCCAACGTCTACTAGTTAAAACTTTGAACGGTATAATCTCTTCTTTATGTCTTTCTAAATATGCAACATTCATAAAAGCTAAAAAAATATAAAAATATATCTCATGTATAGGATAATTCAAGTTGGAATAAAAACCTTAACCAGAGAAGGATTTAAATACTAGTATTCTTCAGTTATTAGTAAGAGATGCTAGATTTTTTAAAGTTTTCAAGATTCTTTTATTAAGATCAGTGCAGACTAGGGCTTAAGGTGGGCACCGGAAGAGGGCGGGCGGCGATCTCCTGGTTAGAGCGTCATCTTACTTGGGTGCCAGATATGGACTGTCTCGAGTGGGTTAAATGACTTTAAACATGTTTTAGAAGAGTATATGTTGGCAAATTAAAAAACTCATAATTATAAGAATGAAGCAAGGATCGGATTCCTATAAGCTTTAAATTTATTAAAAATTCCATTTAATAAAGCAAGAAATTCAGCTTTGGTACTAATAATATAAAAATTTACAACCTATAATTGGGTGTGTGATGAAAACAAGATTTCTTCAAAACAGACTTGACTAAAAACAAACACAGTATTCACTAAACCAATCCAATGGAAAGATGTAAACACTTCCAGATGAATGGAATTTTCAGAGCCGGTGGGTCGCGCTGTACCTTCTTCCAGTTATGATCAAATTAAAAAACCAAATGGTCAATTTTGCAAAAAATTGAACAATTTGAAGATGTTAGATAGTTAACTTTAAAAATTTCAATCGCAAGTCCCAAAGTATTGAACGGTAATCACGTACAGGGTCATTTTCCTCTGTTTTACAACAGATGAAATGATGATTAAAACCTGAGTTCCATCCATACCTTCGTGTAATTTATGCCTATAAAATATAAAGATAATGAATCTAAGAGCCCCAATTATTCAAAACCATAGTTAAAACCAAGATATTCAACTTCAGATATTCCAAATGTAAAATGGGAAAGGTGTTGACTATTAGCTAATTCTATACCACAAGGCAGGTTTATTAATCCTGTAAGATAATTAATGTTAACATCAAACAAGTCAACCTTAGTTACATTCACCTGAAATTCACCAACAGCTTTCAGCTTATCACTTGAAAATGTTAGTGATATTTAAATAGAGAAGTTAAAACTGTCTTTATGTTTTTAAAAATAGATATTGAAGAAAAAGTTATGAATAGAAAAGAAATCATTATCTAAAAACTAAAAAAAAATTTTTAACTTTAAAAAATGGGGAAAAAAAAAAAAAAGGAATTCTTCTTTCTCCTTTGGTTTTTTGTTGAGGGGC